GACTTTAAAATAAAGTAAAGCTACAAGCAAATTGTCGTTGGTAAGGCAGTAAGTCCCACACTTAGCCCATGGACCGGGAACCACCGTGGGCACTGGTCCTGGGACGGGCCTGGGCATTCGGTCTCCTGCAGGGCTCCGAGGGTCTCCCTGGGCAGCCTCGGCACATCCCACCCGCCGGGCTGACGGAACGTCCTCTCAGGACACTGATCTAATTGGTAAGCACTGGGCACCACAGACCACTGCTGACTTGGAGGCCTTGGCCAGCCTCCCTCCGCTCACCGTGGGCACCGGGTTGCCCGGGCAGGCGAGGCGGGGCTGTTAGTATTGCCAGGAACGTGCGTTTGGCAACGTCTGGCTTTACAGAGGTTTCCTTTCAGGCAATGAGCTCACTGGAATAAGACTGAATTCGGTGATTTTTTTCCCTAATTTACTTAAAATATACACTTGACATTTTAACTAAACCGTTGTTTGAAAGAGAGTTGACATTTTGAAATCACGAGCCCTGTGGGTGATGGAGGCTCAGCGTAAGGAACCAAACAGCACCGTCCCCTGGAGCCTGCTTCACTCGTGCATGTGGAACATGTGGGCCGGAGGCTGCTGTGCGTGTGGACCACATGGACCCGAGGCTGCTGTGTGTGTGGACGTGTGGGCTTGAGGCTGTTGTGCATGTGGACGCGTGGGCCGGAGGCTGCTGTGTGTGTGGATCACATGGACCCGAGGCTGCTGTGCGTGTGGACCACGTGGACCCGAGGCTGCTGTGCGTGTGGACGCGTGGGCTCAAGGCTGCTGTGCGTGTAAAGCGTGTGGGCCTGAGGCTGCTGTGCGTGTAGACTACGTGGGCCTGAGGCTGCTGTGTGTGAGGACCGTGTGGGTCTGAGGCTGCTGTGTGTAAAGCGTGTGGGCCTGAGGCTGCTGTGTCTGAGGCTGCTGTGTGTAAAGCATGTGGGCCGGAGGCTGCTGTGCGTGTGGATGTGTGGGCCCGAGGCTGCTGCCTGCTGGGCCGAAGGTCACTGGTCTCTGATGCTCTCCTTCCTCTGCCCCCCACCCCCCAAAAAAAAATCCCGGTAGCTGCCTGGGAGCGGGACCTGAGGTCTGGAGGAGCGGCACCGCCCGGTGGGGTCCCCAGTGCAGTGCATCCGAGTCCTTTGCTGTGAGACAGACTTGCTCAGTTCCAGAGCTCCTGTTTCTACCGGATTAGGGGGTCTGAGAAGTGGGTGCACTCCACAGCCCTCTGCTCCCCTGGGAATCACTCACCTCTCAGGGGCCTGCCCATAGGCGCACACTCTGGGCTGAGGGACCACTTCCTCCAACTGGACACACAGAAGACGGGGCTCCGAGGACAGCAGGGCTCCCCAGAGAGAGGCGGACAGAGAGGCGTGTGATGCAGCAGCCGTGGCACTTTCCCGAGAGGAAATGGAGTTCTCCTCCCGGCTCTCCAGCCCCATGGCCTGTTAACCACCCGCTTCCTCCTCGTCCAGGACGCATCAGGGCGTGGGTGCCCCCTGAGGCTTTGGATGGGATATGCCACAGGGCGTTTTCCCCAGTGAGTTCAGGCGGGGAGGGTAGGAGGCTCAGCCCAGGGAGGGTAGGAGGCTCAGCCCAAGGTAAGCAGCCTCCTCCTGCCCAGTGCACAGGCCAGCTTCGGTTTTAGGGAAATTTGGGGCAGAAAACAGATGGTAAAGGACATATGAGCATCTGTGACTGGATTCCTGTTCCTGTCACTCGGTGTTAAAATACATCCCTCACCCTCTGAAGGGCTCATTGCCCGGTCCCAGGGAGGGAAGAGGCAGTTGGGTGCTCCAGGAGGCAGTAGGGAGGTGGAGGGGTGGGAGGAGAGAAATGGGGCGTGGACGCTGTCTTTTCTCCTTTCTTGTTTTCATAACCCCACGTGGCTGGCCCCCGGGTGAGGTATCGCGGAGAGCGAGCGGCCGCAGAGAGAGGTGGTCGCAGCCAGGCGGGCAGGGGCGGGCGGGCGATGGACGCTGGAAGGAGGCCCTCTGCACACTCCCCGCGGCTGCAGAGAAGCTGCTTCCTTCCAGCAGCTCAGAGAAGCCAGAGCAGCCCCCCGGTCTGCGGGGTCCGCATCCACCCACACACCGGCTGTTCCCGGACACTGGGGGCCACTCAGAGGTCCCAGGGCCTCGGGGAGAGGCATGGGGGAGGTGACCCACAGCCTTCAGCCCCTCATCCGCCGGGAGCAGGGAGGGAGCCACCGGCCATTTTTACAGACTCCTCATCCTTCTGATGGAGAAACGGCTATAAACATTGGATCCTCACACCTGGCTCCCCGAGGTCTTTCGGGACCGAGGAGGAGGATGAGAGCACCTCATTGGGCCCCCCCGTTTCGAGCCACTGAGGGGCGTCTGTTCCCCTGCCGAGAAAATCCCGGCCCGTCTCCGATAGACACCGTCTCTCTCCCTACTTAGTCACTGACTGGTTTCTTTCTTCAGCATTTATCATTTTCAAAAATTATTTTTTTTATTAATTTCAGAGAGAAAGGGAGAGGGAGAGAGGAAACATATCTCTAATGTGAGAAAAAATGGGTCTGCCGCCTCCTGCACACCCTCTGTTGGGGATGGAGCCCGAAACCCGGGCCTGTGCCCTGACCGGGAATGGAACTGAGACTCCTTGGTTCCTAGACTGATGCCCACATTGGCCGGCACTTACCACCTCCAGGTATGGTTTCGCCCGTGCTTTGTCACACCTAGGCCCTTATTTTATCTTTCTTGGTCATAAATGCCCTCCGCGCTTTCTCCCTGGTGCCTAGAAGCTCAGCGCTGCCACAGTGGGGAGTTCATCCTATGAGCTTTGGGGGAAGGTGACCCTTCAGTCCATGGGGGTAGATTTCTAGGCACCCTCGTGCGCCTGGAGAGCCTGTGGGGTAGTGTAATGGCTGCAGGTCGCTCAGGTTTTCTCCTTCAGAGGAGATATGCCGTGTGGTCTGTTTACTAAGCAAGTGGCCCCATGTGGCTAAGTTGACAAAAGTACAGATGTATGTGGGTAGTCTTTGTAGCAGACCCTTATTGTGGTTGTTTTTTTTTTTTTTTTTTGTCTTTGGTGTTTCTGGTAATATTTGCTATCTGATTCCTGATGTCAGATATGTGTATCTCCTCCCACCCCCTCCTTATTTTGTCGGTCTTGCAAAATGTTTGTTGATTTTGTCAATATTGTCAAAGACTTGTCGGGTTTTAAAAACCGCTTTTCTCTATTGACTCTCTGCTTTCCGTTTTGATGGATTCTGCTTTGGTGCTTCCTTTCTCGCCTTCTGCGAGCTTCAGGCTGACTCCATCCCTCCTTCTCCGCGTTCTGGAGAAGGGAGCGTGGATTATTTCCTCTCTTCTGGTGTCCTTCAGGTGCTCTCCGTCTTTCTCCCAGCCCTGCCTGCCGAGTCCACACGGGAAGTCTTGCCTGTGTTTCCCTGGAGACGCTCTCTCTGCTGCTTGGGTGGCTCAGCCGGGGGCTGGCTAGTGCGGGCGAGTGTCCCTCATGTTCCTCTCCATCCGTTCCCGTCTTGAGGCTGCAGGCTGCAGAGCCTGCGGTCAGGTTCGGTGCCGTGGATGGCACGGTGGGGACTTCCCCAGTGGGGCTGGGGCCCTGGCTGACCTCTAGCATCGGAGGTCCCGGTTCAGACCACAGGAACCCACAGGTCTGTGCCCAGCACTTGATGAGCAAACGTTGGAGACGATACATGTGTAAAGCGTCTCTTTGACCTTTCACAAGGCTGTTAACACGTAAAAGGATGATGATGTCACGACACGTGCTCTCGCATTCTGAGCGCTGACCTCACCCTCGGGAACATTTGGAAGTGGATGCACACCGAGTGACACGTGAGAGACACGCCTTGCAATTCAAAAGATGTGTCAGGCCTAACCCGGTGTGGCTCAGTGGATAGAGCATCGGCCTGTGGACTGAAGGGTCCCGGGTTCGATTTCGGTCAAGGGCATGTACCTTGGTTGCGGGCACATCCCCAGTAGGGGGTGTGCAAGAGGCAGCTGATGGATGACTCTGTCACTGATGTTTCTAACTCTCTACCCCTCTCTCTTCCTCTCTGTAAAAAAACCAATAAAATATATATTTTTAAAAAATGATGTGTCAGGAAATCCAAACACTTAACAGCGATGGCTTTGACCCTTGCTCAAGGTCGTGGTGACTGGTTATGGCTACGTGGCTGGCAGGTTCCCTTTTGGAGAGAAGCTGTGATGGCTTCCCGGGAGAGTCCGAACACGCAGATGGCCTGTCTGAGGAGACAGCCTGTCTCCTAGCCCAGGAGAGGGCAGCGCACTCAGAGGCAGGCGCAGGGGCCGCTGGTTTCATGGTACTCCCTCGAGGAGCCCACGGCGTCTTCAGTCCCGGTGTTTTCTTTATGTCGCTGGCTTAGGTATGGAAAGGTGACCAGACATCCCGCTTTTGGTGGGACAGTCCCGATTTTTAATAATTTGTCCCGCGCCCCGAGGCGTTTTTACTTTTTATTTTATTTTATTTTATTGATTTTGTACAGAGAGAAAGGGAGAGAGATAGAGAGAAACATCGATGAGAGAGAGTCATCGATCAGCTTCCTCTTGCACACCCCCTACTGGGGATGTGCCCACAACCAAGGTACATGCCCTTCACCAGAATCGAACCCGGGACTCTTCAGTCCCCAAGCCGACACTCTATCCACTGAGCCAAACCGGTTTCAGCCAAAAATTGGGACTTTTTCAAAATGCCGAGGGACACGGGACAAATTGTTAAAAATTGAGACAGTCCCTGCAGGCGGGACTTCTGGTCACCTTAGGGTACGACCTCTTCAAAAAAAGAACATTCTCAAAGGGGGTTCAAGAGGACAAGCTCGGTGGCCGCAGGTGGTCAGTTCCCTAGCGATGCCTCGTGCACAGGCCCCGGGACTGTCCACTGGTCTCAGATGCACATGCCGCTGTGGACGGAGGAGTCGCTGTGCTCGTTAACCAGCCTCGGTGGCTCGTTCCCGCTGGTAACCGCTCCCTGTGTTTCTCTGCTTGCAGGCTGTCGGGGTTCCAGCTGCCCTCCTCCATCGTGAGTTCCGGCTCCATCCTCACACTGTGGTTCACCACGGACTTCGCCGTAAGCGCCCAGGGCTTCCGGGCCCTGTATGAAGGTAGGACACCCCGTCCTTCCCGGTGCCCCCCGCGGCGGGGCCCATGGCTCACGCCGGTCGTGCTCGGTTACAGGCCTCAGCGTGAATGTCAATCTCAGCGGCTTACTTGTTTGAATCGGGAGCATTGCAGATTGGAGAACACCCTTTGCTATAACTGCCAATAATTTTTAAGAAAAATGTTGTGTGTATAATTTTCCGTTATTGCTAGAACTCTCTTTTTTTTAATTGGAAGAGCGGTCTTTCTGTGACGGGGAAGTTTGGAGAAGTCTGAGTTCTAAGGGGCAGCGCCCCTCTCGCGTGGAGAATGTGTTCTCACTCCAGCGGAGTTCTCTGCACCAGAACGCTGGCGGTGCCTGCAGAGAGGGAGTTCCTTTGAGTGAGCGTTTGTTTTCAAAGTTGGAACTGTTCACGGAGACGGTTTAGTTTTACGGTCTGGCCATCGGCGGGCCTTGGGGTTTTGTTTTGTTTGTGTTCGGATTTGTGTCTTGCGCCTTTGGGTGTGTGAAATCGGTTTGACTCTCTCGGAGCGAAGAGGCCAAAACCATCACAGGGAGGCCGGGCCCGGGGGGATGCCGCAGGGGGCACAGCGCTCCGCCAGAGGCGAACCCGGGACCCTGTGTGCGTAAACGCCAGCATGGGCGGGTCCGCTGGTTTCACAAAGAAGTTGTGCCGTTTCTTTCCTGCGTCACTGGCTGTTGTTTAAGATAAATACGCTCCCGAGTGAGTGGGTGAACAGTGCGGTGGGAGGGTGAGGCCTCGGATGTCCCCTGGGCTCAGGCACGTCTCCGTGTTCCTGTGGGAGAACGGGTGCACTCGGCACAAGGCATCCTTCGCGGGAAATAAAATCAGCACACGCTCTGCCAGGAACTCAGCTGCCACACGATTCCCAGAGAATGTAAGGGTGGAATGCCCTCTTTACGCCTGTTTAAACAAACCATTCACCCTTTCCGTTAAAGTTTTATGTGGAATACCCCTTAGGGTGGCCCAGGGTTCTGACTTCCGTGTCTTCCGGCCTCGGCGTTGATGCCTGCCCTGGCACCCTTGGCCTGAAGGACGGACCATCCGTAGGTAGGTCAGGGCCTGTTAGGGATGCCGTCTCATTCCGAGGAACAGGCTCCTGGAGATGGCCAGCTGCTCTTCTCCTCCAAGTTCACTGCATCCGCCCCTCCTGACTTCTCACCACCTCTCTTTAAAGGAAGGGGTTCTGAGGCCTGTGGGTACCGGAAGCCTGGCGTGTGTGATCAGCCTGTGGTATTCGCTGAGAAGGGGCAATGCCCCTCCCCTCCTGGCAGAGCTGACACGGGATGCAGTGCTTGGCTGGGTTCCTGATCTAAACACTGTGGCCACACTGGAGAGGAGGGATGGCCAGTGCGCAGTCTCCTGAGCCTTCCTGAGCTGCTGCTGCTGGAATTATGGGGTGTCATGGTGGCGAGGCGGAAAGCCATTGGGGATTGTCTCTGTTGAAAACACCTTTATGAGTTTCTTTAAAAAAATACTAGAAAAATGACTTGAAAAGGGAACAGGGCCTTAAGTGAAAGGTAGTGTTTTTAAAGCGTGGATATTTGGAAAAGCTATTATTGTGAAATTTGCATGAGATAGGGACATGAAAAGAATATAGTCTCTTTACAAGTGACTGTAAATTCTGTTTTGAAAGAGAAAAGCTAATCAGAAGGTGCTTTGTCAGCAAAACCTAAATTGCAGGGAGTATTAATATCAGTGTTTTAAACGTATTGCTCAATTAGCTTAAGGGCCTCCCGAGAAAACGAGTGTGTCCTCTCTGGAGAAAACCCTAATGATCCTCTAAACAGAAGAATAGAGAGGAGAGAATTTATCCAGAAGAGAGCCAGCCTCCAGCATAAGCACCAGCTATGGATATGCAAATCAGCTCCCGCAGTGAATTTAAATACAATACCTCAGCAATGTCACTATAAAAAGTGAGATAGTATTATGAACAGTGTGTACAAAATATACCATCTAAACAAAATGTAAAGCAGAGACAATGATAATTGGCAGGAAAAAAGTTAAAATGCTTTTGGGACCTACACATTGAGTCCTTTTGATGCTTCGGATTTCCTTCTGTCCCGTTAGGTTGTACTGGGATGGGATGGCCCTCACATGGTTAATATCAGCCAAGTAATACAAGGACATGTCGCTGACTTATTCAAGACTGTCAAGATAAATTTAATTTACTAAAACAACTAAATCAGCATTTACAAATATCATCCACTCTACTCCTTAATCTAATATTATTTTCTTCCAATTAAAAATTAAAATGTATTTAATATTATTAGATTGAGATTTAATTTTTCATTTAAATTTATTCGCTTGAATTAGAGAAAAATCTTTCAAACTTAAAATCTGCCTGAACACTATACCCTTGGTAAGAAACTTAATCTGGGCACGGACTTTTTGATTTCTGGCAGTGCTATGGAATAGTAAATATTTACATGAATTATTACCTATACATGGAACTATTAATCTACATAATGAATATGGAAATGATACATTGAAATAGTCTAATTAATATGTTCAGTCATTGAATTTAACCCTGATAACCAAATAGGAATATTTATAAATTTCACACTAACTTATTAAATATGGAGCCCTTCTGGGTGATAGTAAGTTTGTAGATTGCTGCTGAAAGCAACGTATTTTAATCCATAAATATGGAATAATGAAATTGAAGTTAAGAACATAATAAGGTGTTTGTAGTAGTTTATATGCTAGTTTCATGGTTAAACATTATCCTTTATGCTAAAACAAAAGATTCACTTACGTTTCCTTGGTGAATGTATAGCAGAAAATATTGGGATTGCACCTACTTTGCAATGAAATGGAGCACTCTCACAGATCTTGTGTTTGTCTGTGTACGTAAGTGGTACTTATTTCTCTACTAGAGGCCTAGTGCATGAATTCATATACGTGTGGGGTCCCTCGGTCTGGCCTGCTATCAGAGCTGGCTGGCTGGGGGGAGGGACTGTGGGAGACTGGCTGTGGGAGTACACTGATCACCATGGGACAGCTCCTGCACTGAGTGTCTGCCCCCTGGTGGTCAGTGTGCATCATAGCAACTGGTCGACTGGTTGTTCGGTCAACCATCCTAATGGTCACTTAGGCTTTTATATATATATAGATAACTGTTTGTTGACCTTTCTTCATTAAGGTATCAAATACTAAAAAAATAAATAAATTTGTTTATCAAGTGTATGATATAAAAAAAACATGTGGGTCAGAAAATAGACATGACACGCCAACACATGAGAAATACTGTCATAGGAACATATATGACAAGCCATGGCCATTGTTGACCATGCATCTAGAGATGGTGCTGAGACACCTGAGGCTCAGCTCCCTCCCGTCCTCCATGTCTGCAAGGGGATTGCTCCATTTCCTTCGCAGCTTGTTCACCAGCAGCCCGCGAACTGAATGCTAGGGGCCCAGGCACTGATGGTAGAGACTCCCAGCTCCCAATCTGTGGCCCTGGGTCCGAGGTCTGCTTTACCTCTCAGTGCCATTCCTTGTGTTAGCATGGATATTTGGAAAAGCTATGTTTCTGTCCCGAATATCCTTTCAAATGTTTCCTAAGCTTTTTGGCAATTTTTAGGCATTGACCTTGGGTGATAGTCTAAAAGTTGAGGTCACAGGTTTTGTGTCTCACCATGTAGGCTAATGTTTTAGAATTTCTCGGGTGAGCCCCGTGGGCTGTGACACTGGCTGGAGGTGTCCAGTCTCTGGCGGGAGGCAGTGTCTGTGTGAAATCAGCTTCTATCTGGATAGGAAGCTCTGCTCTGTGAGGGTGATGAGGCGTTTTCCTCAGAGCACCTGCTGGCAGCGCAGGGCGGGCTGCAGGGGGGCTGGCTCTCCGCCCAGTAGCCAGCAGAGGCGTGTGGGGAACGGCAGCCTCTGTGAGGCACGGGGATGGAAATCATATGCGTGTTTGGACATAAAGGCTCGCTTCTGCAATCAGCCTTCGGCAAGGCGGGAGGAAGGCTAACGTGGATTCATGTTTAAGCCAAAGCTGATAAGAAACAACGGAATCTAGTCTCCTTAAATTTCCTTTAACTGGGCCGGCAGACACAGACACGGTGTTTAAGAATGGAAACATTTAACCACAAAGGTAGACAGTCAAATATTTTGAATAAAAAGTACTAATTCCACACCCTCAACATTGTTCTTAGCTTCCCCCAGTGCCATCTCTGAGTTTATTGGCCTCCAATGTCATGAGTGAAACCTGTGGGCATCTGGAGTAGAAAGATGTCTTTATGAACAGAATACAGGAGGCCTGTTGAGGGGGTTGGCATTACTGTGCCTGTGTCAGAAACGGGTGTTTGCTGCACAACAGCCATCAGCGTGAGGAGGACCATGGCCCGTGAAGACGGCCTGGGAGACTCCCTAGGTTAGGAGTCGCTCTTTTAAAGGTTTTCTCTCTCAAGTGTATTTTTACCTAAAATTATTCCTGCTGTCAGTTATGACACGTGTTCCGTTTACTGAGGTATATGTAGCCCTGTGGGTGATAAGAACAAAGAAAGGCAGATATGTAAATGATAGATAGATAGATAGATAGATAGATAGATAGATAGATGATAGGTAGGTACATAGGTAATGACTGAAGAAAAAAGAGAGATAGGTAGATGAAAGATAGATAGATGAGAGATAAGTGATGTGCCTAGAATGGTATAAACTCATATATATTTTGTTATTAAATCCTCAGATGGTATCTATGAGTGAAGTAAAATTACCTAATATTATCAGTTAGAGAACGTGAGGGAGTGTCCTCAGCAATTTAAATTGCCCAAAGCTCATCTACACTAATAAAAGAGTAACATGCCAATTGACCATACCTTTATAACGCCCACCAGCCAATCAGGAGTGAGTATGCAAATTAACCCAACAAAGATGATGGGTTAATTTGCATATGCAGGTGCCAAGAGGCTGGGGGCAGGGTGAGATGCTTGTGTCATTGTCATGGTAATAACACAGGCATTCCGCACCACCCCAGC